GAGACCAAAAAATGCAGTTGAGCTGAAGGCCACTGTCAAAGAAACCTGGGCTTCCATACCACCTCAGCAGTGCCACAAACTGATCACCTCCATGCCACGCCGAATTGAGGCAGTAATTAAAGCAAAAGGAGCACCTACCAAGTATTGAGTACATGTACAGTAAATGAACATACTTTCCAGAAGGCCAACAATTCATTAAAAATGTTTGTTTTATTGGTCTTATGAAGTATTCTAATTTGTTGAGATAGTGAATTGGTGGGTTTTTGTGAAATGTGAGCCAAAATCATCACAATTAAAAGAACCAAAGACTTAAACTACTTCAGTCTGTGTGCACTGAATTTATTTAATACACAAGTTTCACAATTTGAGTTGAATTACTGAAATAAATGAACTTTTCCACGACATTCTAATTTATTGAGATGCACCTGTATATATATATATATATATATATAAAATACATATAGATTTTAATTGAAAAGAAATGTGTGTGTGTGTGTTTGTTTGTTTGTTTTTTTAATTTTGTAAATATATATTTTGTAGATATTTGTAAATTATTTTTTTCTATTTATTTATTTTTCTTTGTTTATTAACCGTAAGTATAAAATATATTTTATTTATTATATATAATATATAATGTATTTGTTACTCTTTGTTTTTGTTTTTACTTGTTACTAAAACTTTTTAAAAAAATGTTTTTTTCCATATATATTTTTTTCTTCTCAGTGAAGATCTAGAATAGAATAAAGTGACATTCATACATTTTTAAGCATGGCTTAGTTGTCTGAATACTTTTTGAGGCCAGTGTATCTAAGAGTACAGTGTGTCCAGGATTGAGTATTGATTTCATGGTCTATTATTTATTAATGATTTATTGCTGAATCAGAGCTCGGCTTGTGTGGATTGAGAACGGCTGCTCAGTGCAGGAGCGAGTGTTTTTAAGTGTACATTTGCCTCCTGTCCTCAACCTAGAAGGTCATACCTCTTTCTCTCCAGACAAAGAAGCTCCCCACTATAAAAAAACGCATACAACAAAACTCATCAGGCTTACAAGCAGCCGCTGACTTCCCAGATCAATTCCAGCTCATACCGTCACTGATTAGGTGGCAATTCCTGCCCATCCTGAGCAACAGATAACCTGCAGTTCCTTCCCAGAATTGATTCGATTCTCAAAATGCCGTGAAATCCTGCAAGGAGGTTAATGGCACGACTTGCTCTGGAGCGTTTGATAAAGAAAATCTTACTTGAAGGGGAAAAGCTAAAGTGCCAAGGCCATAAAGTCTGCCGGAGTGAAGACATTAAACACTCAAATCACAGGTCAGCTTGATGATGTTTTGCTGTAAATGAACAAGCTGAGGTGATTATAGCGAGCAGCTTTGGATTACAAGTTTGCTTTTCAGAGCGTATGAATGTATGGGGAGCCATATACCACGGGCTAATTGTTTGTGTCTGTGCCCTGATTGGTTCCCTGAGGTGTTTACTGGCCCACCGTGACAAAAGAATAGGCGACTCCTGCATCTTCAGTCAAGCGATACGTTGAGTTTCGGCTCCGAGGGCTCCACCTAATGAAAGAAAAGGGAACTGCAGCTCTTTAAACCTGTTTAATTAGATAAATGTCACCGTGAGGCACTGCTGGAGAAGAGTATGTCACTAGACTGTGGCGCTTTAGGGTTGAATCTGTCTACAACCATTTTTTCATACACCATGCCTGATATGTCTAGAGAAAAGAGTACATTTGAAGCCCATTTTACTTCAGAATTAAGTAAAATGCAATATGAATATTCAATGAAAAATGTCTAGTGGGAATTGATTGGATCTTTAAAAAAAAATAGGAGATTAATTTATTTGTTCATGTATTTATTTACATGATTTTATAGAGCATGTATTCTGTGCAGTTCACACAAAAATGAAAAACTCACTCATGTTGTTCAAATTCATCAGGAATTAATTGTATTTTAAAAAGTGGGATCTGTGTGACAAGGCTCGGGTGGATTCATTCATTCATTCATTCATTCATTTAATTTGCAATAAAATTCACAATGCATCACCAGGAAATATGGATGCCCAAAATATCAGTTATTGGCCAGGTATTAAATTATATCAGTTATTAAATTTGTTTTATATGTTTTATCTTATATTAATATTTTTGTTATAAATATAACTTTATTATAAATTATTTTATGTTTTATTTAATTATATATATATACATATATATATATATATATATATATTAGGGCTGTCATCGTTAATGCGTTAACGCATGCGATTAATTTTACAATCCTTAACGCAAAATTACTAAAGCACAATTTCTATTCTAACCCTTTAACCCAATTTTGCTTCTCTGCTTGCAATCAGATAATTTTAAGCTTCTAAACTCCAGGAAAGTTTTCGGTCCAATGATCCAGTAAGCGAATGCATTCAAACAATCCATCCAAAACAGCGCTAATATAAAGGAAACCAGACTGATTACATCAGAGATTGCAGAGAGAACAGAGACTCGCGTTGTGTTTTAAGTTAATTATTAATTCCAGTATGTTTCGCTTTTAAACACGAGCTCTGTCATATTCTGTGACTGTCTCTGAAGAGCGCGAGCCCTCACACATTACACGCGCTGTGTGTGAAGTACAGACTGAACGGATTGTCAACACATCCCACCGCTGTATGGCAAGATGAGACGCGACTGGATTACCAGTCTCGCTAGTAAAGTTTTGATGGATGAAGACTACAATCAAGGTAAAGACGATTGCGGTGGCGTACAGGAGTCGTACAGTACAGTAAACACGCACGAGTCTGTTATAATAAATACGTGTATGAGCTCTTGACGCACTGATCGCACATTGTATTTATGCACAGGCACAGACATTTCTGTACATTCACGTTGTTTCCACACACAATCACGATAATGTTTTGATTTGTCATGTTTATGTTGCTGTGTTTAGTTATTCTGAATGGATCCGTGTACTGTAGTAGATATATGCAGCCAGCAGGCGGTTGGTTTAGGTTTTTTTTGGCATCTCCATGGGGTCCTGTTCGGTATCGCAACTTGGCTTCTCTAAAATTTTAAAAAGCTCTTTGCTGTTGCACTGTACATATACTATAAAATTCAGATTTTTTTTTCTTTCATATGTGCTTATATGGGCTCCTTATATCATTTGGTTCTTTGGTGTCCTTTTGGAGTTTCTAAGTGTCCTTTTTTGGAAAGACATCTAAATTTATCTTGAAAAAAGCTTGCAGAAAATACAGATTTTTGAGAATCACCATTCAATCTTTTGGTTTACTTTGCTGGATATAGCAAATGATGACAAAATAACCATTTGAAACAAGATAAATGGTCTATGCTTAATTTCCTGAAGTGTGTGATTAATCGCGATTAATCACAGAAAAATTATGTGATTAATTAGATTATATATATAATTTTTAGCTTTCCCATCATCTAACCCTCATTAAATGTTAAGCTTTAAAAACACTGTTTAAATTAAATTTCATTAGACTGTTAAATGTAATCTTCAGCCAATTTCAAAATGAATATCTATTTTCAGAATGTTGTGATGCCTAAATTCACTTGTACCATTTAAAACGATTTGTTTTTAGTTTTTATGTGTTTTATTTTTATTTCATTTAGACAAAATAATATAGCCATTGGTTATCGGTTATCAGCTACAACATTGAAAAATCTGACAGAATTTCAATAACAGTGCATTATTTCCAGGAACATGTATTAAGAAAGAATGTTGATTCATTTGATGTTGATTTACATTTTCGTAATCCTACATTGTCTTTCTTGCAGTACTATGTGGAGCTCCGCCCACCGTGGACAACGCTTTCCTGATTGGTCGGAAGCGTTCGCATTATGACATACACTCTGTGGTGCGTTACCAGTGCGGTGATGGTTTCCTCCAGCGCCACATTCCCACCATCAAGTGTCGCGCCAACGGCAAATGGGACCGGCCCAAGATCATCTGTACGAAGTGTGAGTATCCCAACTTTATTCTCTAAATGTCAATCTCAAGAACCAAATGGCCAGACTCTTTATTTATATATTTTTTGTATCCTCAGCAAGGAGATCTCACCGCTACAGACGCCACCACCACAAGTCCCACCACGAGCGCAGAAAGCATAAGAGGCACGGTTCAGGAGGTCATCGAGGTCAACAGGAGGGTCACGGCCATTTCTAACCAAATAATCCCCTCCTTTCCGCCAGCCTTTCACCTAAACCTCCTTATCTTTGATATCCGACGGCCTTTCACCTTTCCCCCTTCTCGTCTGGCTCAGTCTACCCCCATTATGAGCAGAGGGGCTCTGCTGAACCTCACAAGGACTATAACAATTTCACTTTTCCATCTCTTTATCTGTTAATGTTACATCTCATTTTAGTGGATCCAACATGAGGAAAGTTCTTTCGTACCTTCAATGTAGAAAACACTCTAGTTAACTGTTTATGTATTTTTACATAAGCATTAATTGAGCAATGTAAATATTGTATTTAATTTCAAAACGCGGGATCAAATCGAAACAGCCAGGAAATGCTTGGGATTGGTTAGCTTATGCAGTATTTCTTGACCGTTTTGACGTTGGTTTGCTCTTTGTAAGACATTAACCTAATTTATACAGTATTTCTGAGTATTGGTGTGTTTTGAGTTGAGAGGAGTGGTGCTCATCTGGATTTTACATGAAAATTAAATCACGCTCATGTCATTCCAAACCTGTATGATTTTATTTCTTCCGTCGAACACAAAAGGACACGAGTGACTGGCAACAGGAGCTGTCAAATTTTAAAAAATGGCACCATAAAAGTAGTTGTGCACTGTATTTGACGCCTCGTAAAACAGACCGAAGTTCAATCTAAAGTCATTACTCCATTGTAGCTTTCATAGAAATGTGACGTTTCATGTCAATGATGTCAAATCTGACGACTTAATGATGAACGAGATTTCAGATCAATATCGGTGGAGTTTTCTGCAAATAATCATTTCAATTTTGCATTTTCCCTCACACAAATTTATCGAATACCTTCGTTATTGGTGTGTTTTTTTGGTTGCGAGGAGTGGTGCTCATCTGGATTCTCAGTGTAGAAACTGCACAATTCACACAAAAATTAAATAACATGTCGTTCCAAACCCGTAAGATTTTATTTCTTACGTCGAGCAAAAAAGGGAGATGAGCGATTGGCTATAAATGAGCAATATCAGCTACGAGTGTGATATTGCATTTATACAACAGTTTGATGGCACAAGTGTGTAAATACATAAGAAACAACAATGGCGTGTCTTTAAAAACCCTCTTTTGTGCAGAACAGCTGGGCCCAAGCCTCCGTTTCTAATTCGAAAACGTCACTTTAGAACTATTTTAAGTCTAAACAAGTACATTCTTGCCTAAAAAACTCTTAAAACTACATTCCGTGACACAAAAACAGTATTATTTATAAAATTATATTGGATTTAGGCGTCCGCCATGACATTCACTTTGAGAAACAGTTGGAGTTCTGATATCACTTGAATATCGTACTCCTCTCAGCCAATCAGATTTGAGGACCAGAAAGAACTGTTGTATAAACGACAATAAAGCACCATGAAAGTATGAATTTAATGTCTGCTGAAACCGTATGATAGAATTGTGCGAGAAACAGTACGAAGTTATTCATAATCAAAAAGTTGTTATTCTATTGTCAAACTGGTAATGAACGAGATTTCAGATCTGTGTTGGTTTGCTTTTTTTTTTGCGAATAATCATTTTAATTCTTGCGCTTTCCTCATACAAACTAATCAAAAATCTTCAGAAGAAGAATATAGCACACATATGGTCATGCAAACCACTTGTATGGTGCTCCACTGGAAAAGAGCAGCTTGGACACTCTGCAAAGTATCTTCTTTTGTGCTCCACAGACAAAAAAACATAATACGGGTTTGAAAAGACATGAGGTTAAATAACTGATGACAGACTTAATTGTTGGGGTCAAACTATTGCTTTAAGTCCTTAAACAGCCTTTAAAGAGCGAGAATTAGAGGGATGGAAAGAGAGGTTCGACTTGCTGGTCTGAATTGCACTCGACTACATAAACAGCCTTGGGGGTCACAGCTATGCCTGTAATTAGCTTCTCAAAGTAGCACACTTAAGGAAGAAATAAAACAGGGATGGATTCCCATGAGTGGGATGAGGACGAAAACAAAGAATCCAGATGGTGCGATATCACATACGGGTTAGATGTTAAAAGTGCTCATGGGTAAATTTCAGAGGCAGGGATACCTCCAGCACTGAAGATCAGGAGGTTAAAAAGGAAAGGCTCATGCAGAAGGAAGCCAGTTGAGAGGCAGCATTTGGTCTTCTGTTCTCCTCAGAGCGAAAGATGTGGTCTGGGCTCACTGAGGTTTCCAAAGGCACACTTTTTTTCATCCCCACCAGGTGCGTGTCCTGTTTTTCAAAGAGTACTGCGACAGCTGACTCAAAAATGAGGACCGCTCCTTATTCTCTGCCCTCTCAACTATCCTCCTTACCTTAAAAAGGGGCAGGCTCTTTCTTTTTTACTGCGCATTTCTATAATGCCGGGGTTTGTGCTTATCTCTCGCTGTTCCTCGCTCAATTTCCCAGTGAAATTCAAACGTAGCCCAGTTTCCCCCCAACTTCTTTTCAACGTCACTGCTCCCTCCTTCTCTACCTTTATCCACCTATTTTAATAGCCTTTTTTTATAATTCAAGGATGAAAAGCCAATAGTCTTAATATCTGAACAATTCATCTTTTTGTTCCAAGAAACTTAATTAATGTTGAGGTTATTGGCGCTTATTTTGATAAAAAAGCAATTGACTTCAAGAAAAGGATGATTTACATTTTGAAAAATAAAAAGCTGTTTTGAACATTTTGAAGTTTAGTCAAAACCGGAGGAACGTGCATTTGTAGTAAATTTCACAAAAACATCAATTTTGCATTCTTTTTATTTATATTTGTGTGTTGATCATTTTTGTTGAGAATTTAAAAAAAAATTATAATTTACTTCATAGTAATTTCAGAGTGGTTAATTTTATTGAAAATAATATTGCAAGGCAAAACAAAATCCACATCCTTAAAGTAAAATATCAACTTTTTTTTTCTTTCGATTTTGGGGTGAATAATGTCCTGTTCTGGGCAGGTTTCGTACAATTCATTCTAATGCCCATGCATGATTTGCATCGAACAGGAGGTGCACCAGTGTTATGCAATTTGTCTGTCAAAATTGGAGTCTCATTCTGATACCCAGGATCCTAATAATCCATATTAGCTGCTAATGTACCTCTATATCACACTAATAGCTCTTTACAGCCCTCAGCTGAGGCTAGCGAAGGAAGGCAGATGGCTAACAATGTGGCAACTTAATTGTGAGCCTTGATTATAAAAATGAATCTCTAAACAAAGAATGTTCCCAGCTGTCTTTTGGCAGGCATTCTGAAGAACTAGCAGCTGCGGGATTTTCTTGTGGCAAGTTTTCTGACTAATTGCCACAGAGCAATTGCTGTCCCAGAGGTTGTTACGCTAGCTGCGCCACCCCTTTGTAGTTACATTCGTGGAACATCGTCTTATTTAGGCTTGTTTGCATGACTCATTCAGCCAGATTTGTTGAGATTCTCGCAAGAAGAATATGCAAAATACTCTCACAATAGCCTCCAACGGTTTGTTTGCTATCGCCTGCTGCAGCCGAGAATGGCGTTTTTCCATTTTGATAAAATGTTCATGTTGTATCGAGGCGTTAACCTTGTTCTTTTCATATTTACATGATTGTTGGAGGTAAAGAGGAAGCTACGGAGGTGAGACAGGGGCACGATGTCCTCTGTTTAATCAGGACTGCAGGTAACAAGCCACATCCATCATCACCTTCCGGACTATCGCGGCAAGAGTAGCACGTCTGAATTTTTAGTGCGTTTGCTGGAAATGTCTTTGATTGGACGGTGTCAGAAAGGGAATTACCATGACAAAGAAGCCAGTTCAGCCGCCGGTGGCAGTGCGGATTGTTCTGGAAATCACTGCTGCTTAGTATACTTAACCCGAACCTCCGGCATTCCCTGTTTACCTAAACCATGCTTTCATAGTCCGCACTTTATCTCATATATAAATCTGTATTGGCACATAATCTGATCTGTAAATTCCATCTCAGCCGGCTGCCATATCATTATATACGACTTTGTCATCATGCACGTCGTTTATTTGATGATAACACTGTTGAAGAGGACCTTAAAGATGACTCTATGATACTGATTAATATGGTGGGGTCTTTAGCTTTACATTGATATGCATTTGAACTATGATGTTCCCGGACTTTTGTTATCTGAGTTTTTGTTTATATTTCCGAACCAAGCATATGAGACTTTTCCTGTATATTTACAGTTACAGCTCTTATTTCTGTTTATTTATTATTTGTTGGCTTGAAGGGCATCCCGTCGTTATTAATGACCCAGCATTCCCTCCTGTTACAAGCAGTAAATTCATTCCTCTGGCAGTAGCAAAACTACCTTGCGACAAAACTATAAAATCTTTTGACACCACTCCCCAGCTCGGTGATGTACAGTCTTTGTTTTCACTTCTTGATGTTTTCTTCTCATTTTTTATGTATGGATTTATTTATTTTTCACTTTTTAAAAATGAAATCTGGATGTGTTTGTTGCTTAGAGTCCCTGGACCTCAGTCACACAGGCTTACTCTCCGTTCTCCGGCGCTAGGCAGAAAACGCTACTGCATCAAACGTCAAACACCATCTTCTACATTGAGATACTGTTGTTGTTTTTTTTAAAGCATTTCCTTCACCGGGATGACCTGAGTCAGGCTGTGTGAATGTGGTCCATGTTTGTTATCCAATATTTATTGATGTTCTTATGAATTCTAGTTCTGTCATTGTATTATATTCTTTACCGAACAAGTGGTCAATTAAAAACATTGGATGGGATCGGTAATGCCATTGAATTGGTCTTATCCTTTACAGTTTTTGTTGCAGATTACACATTCTTATGGGTTTTTGCCATTAACTACACCACAAAAATGTGGTTCCAAACTTGTATGACTTTCTTTTCTCTGTAGAACACAAAAGGAGACATTTTGAAGAATGTTCATGGTGCTCTTTTCCATACAAAGGGCCTCATTCATGAAACACGAGCAGAACGAATTTTTGTGTAAATCGTTCATAAAGCCGTTCTGACGTAAATTTTCGGATTCATGAAAGTGTTCGTATTTTCAAAATGTTAGTTGGTACGAAAGAAATGTACACCTGCTCCCTACCACGTGTAAATGGTGCGTAAAACGTTATGTTTTCTTTTTGGCAAACTGATGACACTGAATTTTGATGCACTGCCATCATAGTATTTTACAAGTTTGTTTGCCCCGGTTTTTTTTTTTTTTTGGTAGCTGTGAGTTGATAAACTGCTTGTCACTGTCACTTTTTACCCAGCCATCCAATCAATGGAGGAGGGGCGGGACAAATACTACACCGACCAATCATCCTACTTGTACAACAACTAAACAACAATAGAGAAGTTCATATTGCTGGTTACTGAATTTGTATATTCAGTAATATTCTTCAAAATGAGATACTAGTAATATGTTACTGCCGTGGATATTTCAAATCATAGCAACCAAAGCATCTCTCAGGCTCAGCAAGAAAAACGCTGTGCTACCAAAGCGTTCTCCAGCACCACCAGCTGGCCGTTTTAAGAAGACCGCCTGACAGTTTTTCTGCTGGCTAAAAACGCTTTTGTGGACACACGT